GCATTATTGATTGTTTGAAATTCAGTTATGAATGCCTAGAACAACAATGCCAGGAGTGTTTTTTATGTTGTGCATTGTATCCTGAAGATTATGAAATCAGAAAGGAGGAGTTAATTGAGTATTGGATTGAGGAGGGGCTTATATATAAAGAAGGGAAAACTAGGGAGGCAATGAATTGGAAGGGTCATGATATACTCGATAAGCTAGTTGACAACTGCTTGTTGCAATTGGTTAAAAAAATAGACGAAGACGAAGAAGAATGTGTGAGTATGCATGATCTTCTCCGAGAAATGGCATTGGAAATCAGTCCTCAATTCTTGGTGAAAGCCGGCATAGCCTTGGAGAAGTTACCAGAGGAGCATGAATGGAGAGAAAATCTTTTGAAGGTTTCTTTAATGGGGAATCACATAACAGAGATTCCTTCAAGCATGCCGTCTCCAAAGTGTCCTATGCTCACAACCTTGCTGTTGGCTTATAATAAGATTTCAACAATTCCAGAAGCTTTTTTTGAGCATATGCTTGGGCTCAAGATCCTTGATCTTTCCTGGAATGAGAAGCTAAGTAGGCTGCCGAGTTCTATCTCCAAATTGGAGAAGCTTACTACATTATTGCTACGGGGATGTTACTCCTTAAGAGAGGTACCAGCATTATCCAACCGTGTAGGGTTAAAAAAGTTGGACCTTGTAGGGACATCAATTGAAGAACTACCGCAAGGCCTCAACATGTTAACAAATCTAAAATATCTTGGTCTTGGTGGAAGATTATCTGAAACACTTGATGAACCGCTACAAAATCTCTCCAAACTTCAGCATTTACAAGTAACTGGCAATCTCTATGCCGAAACAGAATTTAAATGGGAGACGATTGGAATTTGGGGGAAGCTTCAAAACCTTGAGAAGCTGCATCTTGGTTATTTGCGTGACTTGAATATGGTGTTTGGGGAAGTAGGAGCAATTACTGAGTCAGCATCGCTACCAGCTGGCACATTTTCCTCCCTTCAAGATATTAGGGTTTGTTTTTGTGATAAAATAAAGAAGTTATGCTCGGTGAGGTGGTTGGGATATCTCCAGAAACTACAGTCTATTGAGGTTTCTAATTGTAAGCAACTGGAGGAGATGGTAGGGTCTGAAACTGAAGGAGGAGAAAAAGTCACTCTACCCAATTTAGAAAGGTTGGCATTGTTGGGATTGCCCCAATTGAAGACCATCTATAGTGGTTCTTTGATTTGTGATTCCATCAAGAAGATTGAAATTGATAGATGTGAAAATATAGAGAGTGTTTTTTGGTCGGGGTTCAACCCACTTCCAAATCTTGAATATCTTGTCCTTTCTGATTTAAAGAGTTTGAAATCCGTGTTTGATGAAGAAGGTTTTGGTTTATCGCCACGTGTACCTCCCACAAGCTTTTTCTCTCTTAAAGAAATTAGGGTTGAACACTGTGGTCAATTAAAGAAGGTATTCTCATCTGGATGGCTGCTCCACTACTTCCAATCCCTAAAGACTATTGAGGTTTCATTGTGTTCGCAAATGGAGGAGCTGATATCGTCATCGGCACAGGAAGAAGAAAAAGTCACTCTACCCAAGTTAGAAGGGTTGAAATTAACAAGATTGCCCTTATTGAAGACCATCTGCAGCAGCTCCAGTTTGTTGATTTGTGATTCCATCCAGAGTCTAGAAATTACGGATTGCGAGAAGCTAAAGAGGATTCCTCTGAATTTTCTCTTACTTGATAATGCCCAATCATCTCATCCTCCTTCCCTCAAAGAAATTGTGGTATTCCCAAAAGAATGGTGGGAATCATTGGAATGGGACCATCCCAATGCAAAAGACATCCTTTTCCCCTTCTGTAAAATTTGGCAAAGACAGGGTTAGGGCGCACCGCAAATGTAAGCCTTTTAATCTTTGATTTTCCATTTCTGATTCAACTCAATAAGACTTTTCCATTCTTAATAAATCTCTCTCTCTCATCTGTTATTTTCTCCCCCAGTGGCAGCAATTCGGATTCGGCTCTCTCACCGCAAGCAAGGTGGAGGAAATCACATATGCACTAGTTGCTGTTGCTATTGGGTCTTCAATGTAATATAATCTTTGTTTTTCTTTTGTTGTGTGTGTGTTGTGTGTTTAAATATGTCCAATTTTAAGTGGAAAACTGGAAATGTTTGTTTCTTTATTATCTGTGTAATGTTGTCTTTGAAACTGTGTGGGAAAAAGACTTGAAACTGTATTTGCTTTTCTTGTAATATGTATTTCAATTTATTTCATTTGCATATCTCCCCAAATTTCATTCAACAACATTATCATCATCAACAAAAACCGAGACTTACTTTCATCAACAATAGCGGCACACTCTGTTACTTTATATTCTTAGAATTGCCCAAGGACTAGCATTCAGGTCAGAAGACACTTCTCTTCTCTTTTTGCCTTTTTTTTTTTTGTCTCTCTTTTTTTTTTGTGCATCATCAACATTAAACTTTATTTGCCTTTTTTTCCATCAACATTAGGTTCACTTATTTAAAAAATTTAGTAGTGTAACTATGAATCATGCATTACCTATTGCGTGCTACCTTCTGTTTACCTTAGGGAATATAGCAAAAATCATGTTGCGCCAGTTGCATGTGTATTGAGACAACTACAGGGGGAAATTTTAGAGCTT